GCGTAAAGCTTCCTTCCACTTAGCAACCTGTTCAATTGTATTTGATCTTTCATGTTTGATGAAGGCTTCCGCATAGCTCCCAGTTTGTTTCCTCACTACATCAGGCTTTACATCATAAAATACAATTCGGACCTCATGTTTGGGCTCCCCTGCTCGCTTGCACTCGAGGATTTTAGTGAGTTCCCTCAAACACCATGACGAAGATGCAAATTTTTTGGAGAAGACAACTATCAAAAACCWTGATTCTTCAATGGCTTTGTACAGTTCAGGAGGCAACTCTTCTCCTCTCAGGTTTTCGTCATCGTCTCTGAAAGCATTAATTCCCTTTTGTTTGAAATCTTTGAATAGATGATCCATGAAGCTTTTACGGATATCTTTACCTCTAAAGCTTACAAAGACATCATATGTCCATCGATGTTGAGAGGATGCACTGGTACTAGCCATTATCTATAATCGCAGTTGTGTTTACATGTAAAAATTAGCAAAAAGGATTGCTTAAAAACATTATGGAGCATTCAGACCGAAAAATATGAACCCGAAAAGAAAAAAGTGAAAAGAGCATCAAAGATTTTCATTGGGCAAGTTCTATTCACATCGGTAAGAAATGAAAATCGAATAGAAGTAAGAACCTGTTACAACAAGGTCAGATCAAAAGTTGATACAAGATTTAAACTCTCCCAAAATTAAACCTCAATCGAATAGAAGCAAGTTCAAAATAAACCTCAAAATTAAACTTGTAAAAAGTCCTTGAAAGATTGGGGATTTCATAGATCGATTGTTTCCATCAACTTAAAAACTACAATTACATGCTCATTCCATCCATTATCAACATAAATTTGCATCTAAATTGGTCATATTTTGAGYAAGATTCAACCGATTGATAACAAATCGAAAAGAAATAATCAAGAATTTAAAAAAGATGAAAAGAAAGAACAAGTAATTGATAACTTACTGTTTCTGGGTTGGAAGTCTGCTAATGAAGAGGAGAATCAGGAGATGACAATGAAATGGAAGCTGATCAAATYATAAAGAAATAGCCGCGTGTTGACCTCAAGCAACCTTTATATGGAAAAAGTTTAATTTCCAGTCCCTCAACTTTGAAACTTATCCTTTTTTCGATTCATAATTAATGGATTGTCTTGTTAGTTGTAGCATCAAAAATATTGCATAATAGTTTAAGCACTAACATTAATTAATATATTATTTCGAGATGAATTAGAAACCAATGTTGGTCAAAGTTTTTCAAAATCTTTATAAACATTTTAAAAAATTATGTTGATTTGACGCTAATTTATTTAAACCCGTTAATTAATATGAGTTGGGTTTCAACGAGAAAAGTAAGAATATATCTCCACCATTGAATCAATCATAATTGAAAAAAATATGGTTTTGGTAATTGGTTCAATGTGCTTGTTGGCACATGTACAATGCACCATTTATTGAAGAGTCGGTATGCGATTTTCAGATGACATGATAAGGGTTTGAGAGAGTGATTGAGGTCATATTCGGACATTTGATATCTGATACGAAATCCTTTCTAGGATGGTTTTTGCCAAAAGCATACAGACTCAAAAGCTCCACAKCTTTATAATCCGGTAAAAGTGGCATGTCATAAATTTCATTCACTTTATGACATCTAAAAAAGTTGGATTGAGTAATGAAAATCGAATCGAACTAAAATACTAGAACATGGGGATTTAATTTGGTGGGAATAGGGCGGGGATGAGGCATAGACCTCAATCCCCGTCCCCGATTAGAATGAATTTAATTTAATACAAAAAAACCACAACATCATAAAAGAACTAATAACCTAAAACCAAAAAAAAAATTAATTTAATAAAAAAAACTTAAATTCATTTGTATCAAAAGATATTGAGTAATATAAAACCATATCGAGTAACATACAAAATTTATCGAGTAATTAAAGGGGGTTGCAAGAGGTTATAAGAGGTTTATTGATGTTTGTGCTAGTATTTGATTTCTTTCATTTGTAATTAGACTAGCGTTTTTTTTTTCAAGAGTATGTTTGGTTTTAGTTGAATTATTTGGAGACATCTGAAATCATTTTTGTTGGAGTATTAATTCTATTGGAGACTTTATTATGATGGTTTTATATACCTGTTACATTATGTTTGAAGTAACTCCCCCTTCTTTTGGAATGGGGCGTTACAGATAAACTAGCCGAAAAACAAACTGTTGCCTACTAAAGTAGCTGATGAATGAGTCATATTTGGTAAAAACTAGTTGATAGGTTAGATTATAATGTTACATGATTTAAACAAACATGTTGAAAATTAATTGAAAGATATTTGGAAACAAATTAAGAGTTAATTGAAACAAATTATGAATATAAATCAAAGCAGCTTTCATTACATATAGTTATGATATCGAATACAAATTACAATTGTGAGGGAAAAATGACAAAATTATATTACAATCAATGACAAAGCTTTGACATATGCATCACGACAATACATCTTTGTTAATCAGACTACCTACCACGACCAATAGAAAMGTCGATGATTCCTCCACATTTCGATGGCACCACCTTTTTGTGTTGGAGTCGGGAGATCCTGAATGAGACTGAAATTCATCTCTTCTATATCTTTATCAAAAACAAGTCTAAAACCACATTCTTTTACCTCAACATCATCACCGTGTTCAACCGAAAAGTAAAAAAAATTCTTTGCCTCCTGCCATCCACTAGAAATCCAACTCTGAAAACAAAACCATATGATATATGACTTAGAGATTTCAGAGGAAGCATATACAAATGGATAGTGGTGAACCAAAGAAGTCGCATAAAAGTTGTCCACATGATAGTCTGGTAAATTGTTGTAATTGAAGTGATCATAATAAGACTTTTTCASCGTCAAAACAACACAAAATCCAAATCCCCTCAACTTGTTGTAGCAGAAATTTGGAGGCAAATTATACTGTAAGTGATTTCCCATACTTGTATGTGTAAACCATTGTGGAATTCTATTTCCATGATATTTTATATCCAAACGGTAATTGTCTTGTCCGTCGAAGATTTCACGTATGTTACTCGGGAACTCCATAAATTGAAGCAAAGAAGAAATTTCGTTTCTACAACTATGGGAGGTTATAGATGAGTTAAGATCAAGTGGAGGCCGACACATACAAACCGGGCTTTCAATACTAACATTCCTAAACAATTTAGGACAATAGAAAAAGCTCATGGTTAAGGATGATTGAATATCAAAATTACTAGGTGAATGCAAGGCGGTGCAACCTTATGATAACAAATCGAAATGAAATATACAAGAATTTGAAAAGRAAGAAGAACAAGTAATTGATAACTTACAGTTTCTGTGTTGGAAGTCTGCAAATGAAGAGGAGATGACAATGAAATGGAAGTCTGCAAAAGCGTCAATCGAAACGGTTTTCGGCACCAGAGTACACACATCTCTTTAAACCACCCTCACCACATTCGTTCACAATCAATTCCGAACATTATTTGTTAGGGTAGTAAACCCTGTCAAGCTTTAGCACCATTTACACCCGAAAACAATTGGAGTTAGAGCCTTTACCCTCGTCTAAAATATACTATGAAAGTTTTGATATATTTTTGTTGTATATATTTTTAATATATTGATTTTTATAATTAATAATATAAATGATATAAAGTTAAATGGTTGAACCTAAAAAGTTTGACAAAGCTATGAAAAAACATGAGTCAGGTTTTGGACATGGTGGAGATATGTTGAGATTTTTAAATTGTTAGGTGACGCTCTAACATGAATATATTTTGATTCATTATAATCCGTCAGTTTTATCGTTTACATTAAACTTTTTATGAAATTAAGAGATAAACCAAGTACAAATTTAACTTTTATGAAAAGTTATATGGGAAGATTACACTTTTAGGCCCACCCACCCCCAAATTATGCTACTTTATTTGGTCAAAGTAATCGGTAAAACTTTGGAAGTTTCATAGTTATCTCCATGAAACTTTCATTAAAACAATGTCGAATTAGGGGCTGTTTACCGAAATACTTACCCGGTAATTGCTTATCGTTAGGAGTCAACACTATAACTTATTTTACTGGGTAAGATTATAGTACATCAAAACGTATCCCATGTAACAATTTACCTGGTAAACGCTTACTCGGGTAAGAGGCGTCACCCAAACTTACCGGATAAGAGTCTCCATCCTTATCATCATTCTTACCGGGTAAGATTCTTGGCCCTTGTTATACTCATCCGATGAGAAAAATTACCTGATAAGCACTTATCGGGTAACCGTTTAGTAAACGGCTCATTACTCTAAGATTTCTTGAACCCAAATCATCCTAAAAATAGTTTAATATAAACTTAAATAAAAAATAATTAGCTATAAAAAATATGGAACAACTTAAAGTTCGTTTAAAACATATTATAATGCTTATAATATTTATAATTGTTTTACTAAAAATTGCTATCATTATTTAAATATCAACAGTTTTTTATTAGCATATCCTTTAGACGATAACACACTTATGCCACAACATTAAAGCCTTTTTGAAACTTACTTTGGAACTTTCTAAAAGCATTCTAAATGAGATCATGGAAGAAATAATACCTCAAAATTCATTAAAGAAATACCCACCAGAACTAAAAATCCCTACAACCATTAATATATATAAATCGATGTGTTGCTCCGATTCTTCATAAAACTGGGTATCTGGTCAGGGATGGACCTAGATTTTTTTTTCAAACTGTGGCATCATTTGACTATAAGAAACAAATATATGAAAAAAATTCAAATTGTAACACCATTTGACTATAGGTAACAAATATATATATAGGGAAATTTTTTCAAACGGTGATATTATTTGACTAAAGAAATGATACTAACAAGATACAAACTAAAGTTTGAGGTGGAATAAAAGTCTTGCAAACCAACTCTACTAAAGATAATTTGTTCTCATTGTATTTTCGAAATACCTGCGGTGACACAAAACAAATTAATATGGTTGCACCTTTCACAAACCTAAAGTTTTCTATCTTTCGACAGAGAAAATAATACGGTGGCACAAAACAAATTAATATGATTTATCATTAATTAAGTTATTTTATTCAAACTTTTTTACCCAAATCACGTTTGACTTTGAGACTATGCTTGTTATAGTAGTGATAAACTATGGGTCATATTTGGTAAAAACTAGTTAATAGGTTAGATCACAATGTTATTATCCAAAGGAACATGTTGAAAAATGGAATGTTTTTAAGATTTTATTAATGCATATTAGGGATGTGGATAACTTATGCATTGTTTGTCTGATTGATGATGAAGTTTATTTCTTTTTAAAAAGAGGATGATGCCTCTACCGATTTTTATTAAAATAAATAAATAATTGTACGTCTAAATCGTACGGTAACTAATTATATATACAAAAAATATGGTAAATAAACAGTACTTTCCGCATAAAAAGTGGTTTTTAAGAGTTTTTGTCAAAAAGTTCTGTTTATTAATGCATATTACTTAAAACTCAAGATTGTAAGTAGATTGTGCGTAAGTACAAGTTATTAAAGCTTCATATCTGAATTTGTATGACTAACTGCAGATAAACATAATCAAATACATGATAAACATCTCATTTTTAATATAAAAAATCTAAAATGTAATTAAGATGATCCTTGAGTTCTAATAGAATATTTAATTATTATTTTTAAATAGTTGATTTGATATTAACATTAATATATATTTTTTTTCAAATTTTTATGAGATTTTCAAATTTATATTTTATTCAAAAATAAAATCATTATTGTTTTCTTAAAAATACATAAAAACGTATTATAACGTCGACAAAGACAAATAATAAAATAGAAAATTAAAATCGAGATGTGTCTCGCTATATATATATATATATATATAGTTTTATATATTTGTGGATTCAATTTTACTTTATAAAATAATGAAAATGGAGTTAAAAAAAGTAGGAAAATGAAAGGGTTAAYAATTAATGTGTTGATTATATATTAAAAATAAATCAAAACAATGAGAAAAAAGATAAATAGGATAGAAGTGTTCTCATTAAACAACATTTTGGTTCTTCCTTTAATATATATATAGATATAGATTGTCCCTTACCACGTATTTTCGTTCACTCATAATTACATGTGGATCTGCAGTCCAATGTACAGCCTGTGTGGCCATATGTCTGGCACTTGTTCTATCAATTGATATACAAGTGTATGTATTTTTCGAGCTCGATTTGTCACTTCATATTTTACTTGTCTGATTACGATATTTAATGGTTTCTTTAAGATTTTGTACCCGTATTGCCTTACATCTTGAACCCAATTTTTGCATGCTAGTAATACCTTTTTGTACTATAATTTTTATCCGTGCACCACATTTTTGGCTGAACCGTGTTTCCTTTTCTTCCTCACGGTAGGTAATTAAAAGGGGTTGCTAAGATTTCGAGAAGGAGAGTATACGAGGTTCAATTGCAAGAGGTTTATTGATGTTTCTGCTAGTATTTGATTTCTTTCATTTGTAATTAGACTAGCTTTTTTTTTCAAGACTATGTTTGGTTTTAGTTGAATTATTTGGAGACATTTGAAATCATTTTTGTTGGAGTATTAATTCTATTGGAGACTTTATTTTGGAGGTATTATATACCTGTTACATATGTTTGAAGTAACTCCCCCTTCCAAAGCGTTACAGATAAACTAGCCGAAAAACAAACTGTTGCCTAATAAAGTAGCTGATGAATGGGTCATATTTGGTAAAAACTAGTTGATAGGTTAGATCATAATGTTACATGATTTAAACAAACATGTTGAAAATCAAGTGAAAGATATTTGGAAACAATTTAAGAGTTAATTAAAATAATTACGAATACAAATCAGAGACAATTTTCATTACATATAGTTATGATACTGAATACAAATTACAATTATGGGGGGAAATGACAAAATTATATTACAATCAATGACATCCAAGCTTTGACATATGCATCACCACAATACATCTTTGTTAATGATACTACCTACCATGACCAATTGAAATATCGATGATTCCTCCACATTTCGATGGCACCTCCTTCTTGTGTTGGAGCCGGGAGACTGAAATTCGTCTCTTTTCCTGTATCTTCATAAAAAACAAGTCTAAAACCACATTCTTTTACCTCAACATCATCATTATCTTCAAACCAAAAAGTAACAAAATTCTTTGCCTTCTCCCATCCAGTATAAATACAACTCTCAAAACAAAACCATATGATATCTGACTCAGGGATTCCAATGGGACAATAAAATGATCGACAAAGCAAAGAAGTCCCATCAAAGTTGTCCAAATGGTACCTTGGTCGATCGTGGTCATATTTATAGCCACAAGACTTTTTCAGTGTCAAAACAACACAACATCCATATCCCCTCAATTTTTTGTAGCAGAAATTTGGAGGCAAATCGACCTGTATGTGATTTCCCATACTTGTATATGTAAACCATTGTGGAATTTTATTTCCATGATATTTTATATCCAAATCGTAATTGTCTTGTCCACCGAAGATTCCACGTGTGTTACTCGGGAACGCCATAAATTGAAGAAAAAAAGAAATTTGGTTTCTACAACTGTGGGAGATTATATGTGAGGTAAGATCAAATTTAGGTTGACACATACAAAACTGACACATACAACACTGGCTTTGAATACTTACATATTTGGACAACCCATAAAACAATTTTGGACAACCCATAAAACACATACGTAAGGATGACTGAAAATTAAAATTGTTAGGTGGATGTTGCTGCAAGGAGGTGCAACTAGATGCGTCAAGAAACTCAAGGTTAGGTGGAAGTTTTGGAAGCATTTCCAGCTTCTTGCAACCAGAAAGTTGAAGATGTTGAAGATGATAAAGTTGACTCAAACATCCAGGTAAACTAGTAAAGTTGTTCCCATCCAAGAATAGAGATTCTAGAAATGATAAGCCTCCAATGCTATCAGACACTTCCAATATATTGCAGTAGCTAAGATTTAATTTTCGTAAGAAACATAAATCCGCCAATGAAGGCATTACCAGACTTTGCGGATGTTGCATCTTCCTTGGAAACCATGGAGGTTGAGAAATTGAACCCCACCATCTAGACCAGATCCTCTTCTCATGTCCACCAAATCCCAATACTTGAAGGTTGTTTTGAGATAATACAAAAGAAGGAAGTTCCGTTATGGCGGTACCATCGATACAAAACTCTTTCAAAGTCTGGATTGTGCCAAAGAATTCAGGAAGTTTGTCCAGTTTTGAGCAACCCGAGAGATTCACAACTTCAAGAGAATCCATTTCGACTTTGCAAGGGAATCTCCTAAAACATTTGCAATCTTTCATATTTAGAACAAAAAGCTTCTTGAGCATCCCAAGGGATGGGTGGACTTTAACCAAATTCACACAACCTTCAAGAATGAGTTTTTCGAGATTTGTGATCCTTGTGAAATTGGGGGTACTTGTTAGGTTACGACAATGCCTTAGATTCATCACTTTCAACCTTTCAAAACACTAACATCAAGGACAAACAGGTAAACACTTAATTAGATCTCCAAGTATTAAAAACATATGAGGAATGCATATACAAAGCAAAATAAGTACCTTAGGCGATGTCCABAGATTTTTGATGTGGCTGTAAGACAAATCGATGGCAACAATGTTTTCTGGGTAGAAATCTGAAGGGAAGCACTTGAAAGGGAATCCATGCCAATAAAGTAAACTTAACTTATTTGATAAAAATTTCAACTTCCCATCGTAATTCACCTTAGATTCCTTCCACAACTTCCAATCAAATGCATGTCGACGGTGTCTGAGTTCTTCATCACATATTTTTAGGATCCGCAAATTCTTCATTTGTGCAAAAGCTTTACCATCAATGTGAACCTTCAGACAATATTCCTTTACCAGAAGGTGAAGGACTTCAACCGCTTCTGTTCCCTAGATCAAAGTAAAAAGAATATGGAACATAAATTTAGATCGAAAAGAGTGATGTATACCAAAAATAATCATATGACACTTCTTACCTCGTTTTCATTTAATACATCATAAACCTCTGATGAAATCCACAACCTGCTTCGCTTCCCAGGGGTGTCGGACTCTTTGCGTACAATTTCCCTTGCCATCTTTTGGATCAAGTCATGCATTTCAAGCAAATCATTGCGAGAAACGACAAGTAATGACTTGTCAACTAAAACTTTGATATTTGTATCTGTATGATAATTACAACCATCTAGTATAGTTGTTGCATCATCTTTATTTTCACCAATGAATGAAGATGCAATATCAAGGAAGATGTTTTTTTGTTGAGGGCTTAACGCATCGAAACTTAATCGAAGCACCCGTTGTATCTCTTCATTAGGATATACTTGGAGCCCGTCCGATTCGCTTTTCCACTCCTTCACAGTTTTTCCGTAAAGAAAAGATCCCAAGACCTTGAGGGCAAGGGGATGACCTTTCACATACCGCACAACTTGCAGAGCAATTTCTTGAAAGTCTTTAGTAGGATGTTCTTCATGAAAAGCATACAAACTAAAGAGCTTAAAAGATTCAAAATAATTGAGAAACTCCATGTCATAGATTTCATCCACTTTATGAGACCTTAGCAATTGCTTGTCTTTACTAGTGAAAATAATCAAACTTCCTGGGGAAAACCAATCACATGAACCTGATAGCGCTTCTAACTGATCACGATGATCTACATCATCTACAACAAGTAGGATCCGTCTAGATGTCATCCTCTGTTTCATTACCATAATTCCTTGACCAATGCTGGATATCCTCACATCTATTGTTTTCATGATGTCGTTGATAAGTTGCATTAGGACATGAGTTAGTCCATGTTGTTTTGTGGCTCCTTGGACATCATCCAAAAAGCTACATTTCTCAAAGTGGATATACATGAGGTTATAAATGGCTTTGGCAAGAGTGGTCTTTCCTATTCCACCAATACCACATATTCCAATCATGTGAACCTTGTTTGAGTGAACAAACCGTGACAAGTTCATTTTCTTTATACGGGCATCCACTCCTACAAGGTTCTGGCCGACATGCAAAGGTTCATGAGATAATGCTTTTAGGATTTCTTTTGAGATGCTATCAATGAATTTGGACTCAAACCTGTTGACCAGAAAGAACCCCAAATGTATAGAATTAGTTCTAATAAAGTTACAACATGAATTGGTTTGGGAGTAAAACAACTACTTAATAAAATTCAAATGATACAGCCCCTTGTTAATTTGATTAGAGATGTAAATCATTATGGTAAAGAAAAAATTTACCCATTTGCCATGTCCTCGAGATCCCATCCAGATAAGTTGGCAGCCATGGATAAAGCTTCTTTCCATTTAGCAACCTCTGCTCTATTTGAAATCTCATGTTTGGCAAAAGCTTGTGCATAGCTCCCAGTCTGTTTCCTCACCACATCAGGCTTGACGTCATAGAAGATCACYCGAACCTCWTGCTTGTGCTCTCTCGCCTCCTTGCATTCGAGGATTTTTACAAGTTCCCTCAAACACCATGACGAAGATGCATAATTTTTAGAGAAGRCGACTACCAGRAWCCTCGATTCTTGAATGACTTTGTCGAGATTAGGAGATATCTTTTCGCCTAGGGTGAGATCCGTATCATCTCTAAACACATGAATTCCTTTTTGTTCTAAATCTTTGAATAGATGATCCATAAAGCTTTTACGGATATCTTCACCTCTAAAACTTACAAAGACRTCATACGTCCACCAAGRCCGTTGAWYGGATGCAGTAGCCATTATCAATGATGAAAGYTGTGTTAAACACATGTAAARATCAACCAAAAAARAGTAGCTTTGAATTTAACATGGATGGGTAAAAGAAAGATAGATTTACACTAGAAAATGAAAGAATAAAGAAGCAGTTAAAAAGAAAAGAAACGCAGAACAAGTAAAAGTAATGGATTACTTACAGAAGATGTGGTGTTGGACTAATAAGTGTGCGACAGTGCGAGTGAAGAACAAATTGAGGGGTCAAATTATATATGAAGAAAGAGATGTGTGTTGACTCAAGTCAACTTTTATACTTACGTTCTTTTCATCGATTTATTCAAAAACATATATTATATTTTTATTGAATATAAATTTAGTTGTCATTATTACAAGTAGTGGAGAAGAAACCTACAACACAAATGGTGAAACCCTCGAAAAGCTCCACATGCATCCATCATTTATTTCCTTAAACAACATCAAAACCTATGTGCCATGAAACCTTGCACAGGAAACAAAGCGGTTTTTTAGACCAAGGCACACACATCTCTTTAATATATTGATTTTTATAATTAAGAATATAAATGATATAAAGTTAAAATGGTTGAACCTAAAAAAAACATGAGTCAGTTTTTAAATTGTTGAGGTGACGAAAATATGTAAGGAAAAAGCTATGAAAAACCTTAACATAGTAGACGCTCTAAGACATGAATATATTTTGATTCATTATAATCCGTTAGTTTTATCG